ACTACCAACACTGGAAATGGCAGCGTTGATCGGCGTAGACTTATGGGCGAAAATGGAAATACCAATTCCGTCGCCGAATAAAAAGCCACAATTACGATGCAACACAATGACGTGCACCATCTCAGAAGGAATGGAACCACGAACTAAAGAAGAAGAGGCACGGTTAAAGAAATTCTTAAAAGAAGAATTTCGGAAGTTCGAGAGTGTCAAAGGACCGACGGACATGGCACGGCACAGCATAAAAATCAAAAGAGGTACCAAACCGATTAAACAAAGATATCGACCAAGGAATCCGGCAATGCAGGAAATAATAGATCGAGAAGTGGCAGAAATGGAAGAAAATGGAGTGATAGAAAGTTCACGAAGCGCATGGAGCTCACCGATCGTCATGGTCAAGAAAAAAGATGGTAAGCACCGATTCTGTGTAGACTATAGAAAGGTCAATGAAGTAACAGAACGAGATGCATATCCTCTACCGCAGATAACAGCAACGTTAGACAAACTCCGAGGAGCGACGTACTTAACAACGCTGGATTTAAAAAGTGGGTACTGGCAGGTGCCATTAACGGCCGAGAGCCGACCGATCACCGCCTTTACAGTACCTGGCCGGGGGCTGAAGCAATTTAGAGTGATGCCATTTGGATTGCATTCAGCACCAGCAACTTTTCAAAGACTCCTAGACACCGTTATAGGACCGGAGCTAGAAGAAAATGTGCAAGTATATCTTGATGATATTATAATAGCAACGAAAACTTTTGAGCAACATTTAAGTGTGCTGAAAGAAGTTTTTACACGGCTTAGGGAAGCAAAACTCCGATTAAATGCTGAGAAGTGCCACTTTTGTCGTACAAGCTTGAAATACCTGGGGCATATAGTAGATAAAGCCGGAATCAGAACAGATCCAGAAAAAACGGATGCAGTAAGCAAGTGGCCAACGCCAACAAAAGTTAAGCATATCCGACAATTTCTAGGAATGGCCTCGTGGTACAGGAGATTCATCGAAGGTTTCTCAAAAATAGCTGCCCCACTAACAAATTTGACAAAGAAAAATGTCAAATGGCACTGGGGACCGGAAGAGGAAAACGCATTTCGGCGATTAAAGGAAACATTAGTTTCAGCACCAGTTCTCGCCTGTCCAAATTTTGATTTGAAGTTCACACTACAGACGGACGCGAGCAAGCATGGGCTCGGAGCAGTCCTAACGCAGAATTTCGCGAACGGAGAGAGAGTCATAGCATACGCTAGCCGCTCACTGAACAACAGTGAGAAAAACTATAGCGCGACGGAGCTTGAATGTCTCGCGGTAGTGTGGGGAATACGGAAGATGCGTTGTTACTTAGAGGGATACGATTTCACAGTATTAACCGACCATCAGTCATTAAAATGGCTACAAAAACTAGAATCGCCAATAGGACGCGTTGGAAGATGGAAGTTTGAGCTCCAGCAATATAGCTTTGAGATCAAATATAGAAAAGGGAGCTCGAATAAAGTAGCCGATGCACTCTCTAGACGACCAGAAATGGCAAGTATAAACAGGGAAATACAGTGCCCATGGTATCTTCGCGTATATAACGAGACAAGGGAACAACCGCAGAAATCGCCAGATTATGAAATTAGGAATGGCAAGTTGTATCGCCACATCCTACATAGTCTCGATTTCAAAGAAACACCGGATAGTGAGCAGTGGAAGGAATGCATTCCTCACGAGCAGAGAACTGAAATACTGAGGGCATATCACGATGACCCAACAGCAGGACATTTAGGCATCGCAAAGACAATATGTCGCATCTCAAGATTATACTATTGGCCGGGAATGCTTAAGGAAATAAATAAGTATGTGCGGAAGTGTGAAAACTGCAAGGCACATAAGGCAGCACAACGGCAACCGGCAGGGATGATGCATGCGACAAATGTTCAACATCCGTGGGAACAAGTCTCGATGGACCTAATCGGACCACTACCGCGATCGAGTAAGGGACACACATGGGTGTTAACAATGCAAGACCGTTTTACAAAGTGGTTAGAGGTCAAGCCGCTGAGGAAGGCTACAGCAACGGCAGTGGCACAGGCAGTATTGGAAGAAATAGTGTACCGTCACGGAGTCCCGAAGATACTAGTCTCAGACAACGGCACCCAATTTAAATCCGGCAGCATGAGGAAACTGGTACAAGAATTGGGAATCACACAGCGGCTTACACCGGTTTGGACACCGCAGTGTAACCCCGTAGAGAGGGCAAACCGCACGGTGAAAACCATGATCGCACAATATGTGGGAGAAAATCACCGTCAGTGGGACGCGAATCTACATGAAATAAAGTTTGCGTTCAATACAGCGAAGCAGGATACTACCGGGTTTTCACCCGCGTATCTCAATACAGGCAGAGAACTGCCTGGACCGCATGTCCGGGAAAGGGAGCATAGAGAGTCACAAGTACCAAGCGAAATAGGAAAGCGACTCGAATCGGCACACGAATTAGTACGGATAAACTTAGCCAGAGCATTCCAGAAGCAAGGGAAATACTACAACCTACGCAAAAGGAACTGGAAACCGAAAATAGGCGATGTGGTATGGAAACGAAACCATGCGCTTTCAAGCAAGGAAAAAGCAATAAATGCGAAACTTGCGCCAAAATTTTTAGGTCCTATGACAGTAAGAAGAATAATATCTCCGGTAATAGTAGACTTACAGGACGAGAGGAAAAAATGGTATAGACAAGTACATATACAGGACTTGAAAACAGAAAGGGACCCCGATGACGAGGAAGGGGTAAGCGAAAGACAGAAATAAAAGGGGAAGGTATCAGAACGGAAGGTTCAGTAGAGTAAAATCTATCAGAGCGGCTACATCAGCAGCAAGAAAACGAAATGGAAAAACCGGTAGGAAGACAGATGTTAGACTGGCTCGAGAATCTTAAACCATCAAAAGATTACGAGACAGCAACACCACGAGATCCTGAAGCTATTAGATACATGGGGAAAACAATCACCTATGGC